GAACTGAATCCAGGGCCTTTTGTTGTAAAGATCCCAAAAGTAGGCTGATTTGTGGGTGAGTGCATAATAAACCTTAGTAGTATCTGTAAATGGAGAATATATTGCTTTCAGAAGCCAGAAAGACTCAGTTTGGCCTGCTTGAGACCTACTGAAGCTGACAAAATTAGAAGTTGCCTTTTAACGACATCAGGAGTGGCCCTTAGGCACACTAGATGAACCTAAGACTCACTGAGGTGGCATGACCTTGAACTTTATGGGGAGCGGGGCAAGAGCCCATCTGCTCTCTGTAAGCGCAACAATGATTGTTTTCATATCCTGTATGTCTAGTAAGTTCCCTCGGAGGAGGATGTCATCAATGTAGTGCTATACATGGGTGCCTGGGGACAGCTGAAACCAAATAGGGTTTTGCCAGTAGAGGTTGTATGTGATGGCTGAACTTGAGGTATCCCACAGGAAACTGAATAAAGTGATAACCAAACTGTTGAATTCACCTTTGACAGTGAATGTGATTGAAAGGTTGTTGAAATAGGCACTGAATAGAGCACATAGAACAGCAAAATATTTGCAAGCAGACGACTGAATGGCCTCATTCATTTCAATTATGTGAGTATAGGGACTTTAATAGGTGGGACCAAGGTAGCAGTAACTTACCATGAAATGACATTCCTCTGAGGATTCTTAGATATCTACTGTGGTTTCTCAGATGTAAACAAAATTGGTTACTTCCTACATGTCAATGAACCTTACTTAATTTGTATGTTAAATATATTCTTGATACATCTTCAAAAATGATTCCTGGCCCTTTTCCAGTTTCTTTTATTGAATTGATTCAATTGTTGTTTTGCCTACTGACGTTTGCCTACTACTTCCTTTTGTTCTTATGTCATCTTTGAACTTACTTTAAATTTTTCATTTAAATAAATGAGGCTAAATTTACACAAATGCATTTAGCCTCTGCCAGATGCCTATAGATAGCTGTGATTATAGCCAGTGAGATGTGTTCTGAGATCCAGCCCTAGATCTGAGGCAGGGAGACAAGAGACAGCTATCATCTTCTCCAAACACGAGTGCTACTTGTATTCTTGTTATTAAAAACATACCAGGGGCGCATGGGTGGCTCAGATGGTTAAGCGTCTGCCTTCGGCTCAGGTCATGATCCCAGGGTCCTGGGATCGAGTCCCGCATCAGGCTCCCTGCTC